AGTCCTCGTCTGAAATTGTAGACAAGAATATGGAACCTAGTGGAGAGGTGATGTTCTTCTGACTTGTGTGGAATATACCTGGGCTTATGGAGTCTCCTGGAGCTGTAGGGAGGGACTGGCCATGGGGAGAATGATGAGGTGTGTGTGGTTGGATGGTGGAGTGGGTCTTGGGAAAACAGGATCCAGTGGGTGGTGGCAGTCCAGCCGGCAAGAAGGCTTGTGGGAAGTGCACCAAAGCAGTGGAATTCCACCAGAGTACCACTACTGTAGGGCCCAGCAGTCTTGCTGGTGCTGAGATGGGGAGTGGGGCACATGTACCCTGGGTCAGTCTGCTTTCTAATAGAGCACAGAACTACAGGCCCAGGGATGGCACCACCCATAATGGTCTAGGCCCTCCCCCATTAATCGCTAATTGAGAAAATGTCTTACAGCTCGATCTCAGGGAGGCATTTCCTCAACTGAGGCTCCTTTTTCTCTGATGACTCTAGCCTGTGTCAAATTGAATTACGAAACCATCCTGTATATACAAATATCTTCATACAAATAAATACACACATACAATACCCTGTGTCAAATTGACACACAAACCCAGCAAGTACAGACCTTCAAACAAATAAATACATACAAACAAACACACATATATGGGGAGGGGGTGACTTACAAAAGTACTATCAAGAAATAAAAATTCCAATGCTGCTTAATTTTCACTGAATTTAAATTACTTAAAATTCCCCAATGATGTAAGCACAGTGCTAGATAAATTTAAATATTTACTAATGATAAATATAAAAATCATTTACATAATATATTCATCATGTTTAAAACACTGCTCTTCTGTAGATATGTTTGTCTGTCTGTCTATATGTCTCTCTGCTTCCATGCTTGAGATTACTTCTCTGTTCTGTGATCCTATAATTAACATTTCCCTATTCATATATATGTGTATGTGTGCATACCTGTTGCAAGGTATCAACCCCCAGCATCAAAGATCCTAGGCAAATATGCTTCCACTGAACTACACACAAATATAACACATGCACACAAGTGCGCGCGCGCACACACACATACATACACTTAAGCCTTGACTCTATTTGGAATTCATTGTAGTATGGATTATCCATTATTCTCAACATTATGTATAGAGTTATGTCTCTAAAATGTCCCATGCCCTGTGTGAACCAGAGCCACAGGCATGTTATACTTGAGTCCTTTCAACAGACTCACAACTGGCTTTCCTCTTCAGTAGGACTTTTGCTTTCTCATTGTACTCTACACATGGAGGGATCCTGTCACTTTTCTACTTAAATCCTTTTGATGGATTTCCCCTACACTCAGAATGAAATCCAATTTTGGGGTTTTTTTGTTGTTGTTGTTTGCTTAAAAAAAATATTTATTTATTTATTTATTTATTTATTTATTTATTTATTTATTTATTATGTATACAATATTCTGTCTGTGTGTATGCCCACAGGCCAGAAGAGGGAACCAGACCCCATTACAGATGGTTGTGAGCCACCATATGGTTGCTGGGAATTGAACTCGGGATGTTTGGAAGAGCAGGCAATGCTCTTAACCCCTGAGCCATCTCTCCAGCCCCTGTTGTTTGTGTTTTGAGATAGGGTTTCTCTGTGTAGCTTTAGACCCTGTCCTAGAACTCATTATGTAGTCCAGACTGGTCTCGAACTCACAGAGATCCACCTGCCTCTGACTCCGGAGTTCTAGGATTAAAGGTGTGTGCCACCACCACATAGAAAAATGCTTACAACTAGGGTGGTCACATCATTCATCTCCCATAGAGTAGCCACTGAGGCAAAGGAAGACTGCTAAAAACAACACTGGAATTGCAGACAACACTGGGCAAGTTCAGCTTCAAGCTCTTGCCTCTCCTCTAACAGACAGTGCCTTCAGCCCAGGGGATCTTATTTTGCAGCTTCAACCTTTACAACCTCTTGTTATTAAGACTTTATGTCCTATTCAATTTTATTCAAAGCATTTGCTCTTCACATTCCACCCCCAATCCACTGTGGACATCTCTGCCCTCTTCTGTCTACCCCACCCCACCCTCAAGCCACTTTTTCAATCCAAACATGCGTTTCGTCATTCCACATCATCTGCTGTGTTTCTCTGCCCAAAGGGCACCTCTCCTACCAAATTCATTATTCAAACAGATCCTCTACAAGTTACACCCACAGGGTCTGCAGAGCACAAAGCAGGCACTAAATAGACATCTAAGAGACAATGGTTGAAGAATTATCTCATTTCACTTGCAAATTACCAAAGGTAATATAAAACTAACCCAAAGAAAATGTAGCAAGCATGTGGGATCTATATATTATTGTTCTATAGTGAGTGTGTATTTGATTGAGCATATCTTAGTATGTTTGGGAAAAAAAACTCTTACTACTCTGGAGATACATCTCAGGTCTCTCCTCCTCAATACTGTCAATTAAACAGTTAACAAACAACAGAAGTCTAAAATTAAGTAATTTCCTTTATCCACTAAAAATTTTAAAAGTCTTTACATTATATCAGAATTGTATAGATATTGTATTTCTCTATCTTGCTTCCCAAGATAATAGTAGAATTAAGTGGTTATATTTTTAAAAAACCTAAATTTTCTTTAAAAGATCGGCCTTTAAAAAGAATTACCCACAAATGTGACATTCAAGAAGTGATAGCTATATAAATTCCTTCAAGGAAACTAATGTCAAATGTTAAGACAACAAAAGAAAAATACTCGTCACAAGCCTGGCTGCTCACTGAAATACCATTTCTGGCTCCCACCCACTCTCCATGTATATTTCTTGAAAATACATCTTTCATGTTAACCATGCACTCAGGTTTTGGTCATATTGCTTTATAAAAATAAAAACTAGTCCCAGTCCAGCTGGTCTTGGTGAGTTCCCATTAGATCAGCCCCACCATCTCAGTGGGTGGGTGCACCCCTCGCGGTCCTGACTTCCTTGCTCATATTCTCCCCCCTTCTGCTCCTCATTTGGACCTTGGGAGCTCAGTCCAGTGCTCCAATGTGGGTCTCTGTCTCTATCTCCATCCATCGCCAGATGAAGGTTCTATGGTAGTGATATATAAGATATTCATTAGTATGGCTATAGGATCAGGCCATTTTTGGCTCTCTTTCCTCAGCTGCCCAAAAATCTAGCTGGGGACATCTCTCTGGACCCCTGGGAACCCCTCTAGAGTCAAGACTCTTGCCAACCCTAAAATGGCTCCCTTAATTAAGATATATACTTCCTTGCTCCCATATCCACCCTTCAAGGCCAGCTGGACAGGGACTGAAAAAGCATGGGATAAAACCGGACTCTCTGAACATGGTGGACAATGAGGGCTGTTGAGAAGCCAAAAACAATGACACTGGGTTTTGATCCTACTGCATGTACTGGCTTTGTGGGAGCCTAGCCTGTTTGGATGCTCACCTTCCTAGACATGGATGGAGGGGGGAGGACCTTGGACTTCCCACAGGGCAGGGAACCCTGACCACTGCTCTTTGGACTGGAGAGGGAGGGGGAGGGGAAAAGGGGTGGGGGTAGAGGGAAGGAAAAGGAAGGTGGGGAGGAGGCAGAAATTTTTAATAAAAATAAAATAAAATAAAAACTAAACAATCATCCATTTAACATATTTTCCACATGATAAAGTTTAATTATTCACTATGAAGTTTTACCATATAGATATTCACAATGCCATTGAATAACACAAATACTGTTTTCTATTCAGAATGATTCCATATTAGCTGACTTCACTTCAAACACTATTGGAGAGAATAGCAAAATTTTCATCTGAAACGCTGCTTTCAATTCTTAGCATTTTTGAACCAAGACAACAGTCTCACTAAGGAATTTAGCCAAGTTCTCACAGCTTACCACAGCCGGCCGTGGCTGATGGTAATTTCTTACAGGCAGTATAAAGCCAAATGAAGCAATCTTCAGAGCACTGCAAACCTTCTGGAAGCACCTTAACATCAAGCAACATTTGTTCCAATCTTATCCTCCTTTAGGCTTGGGTACCATTTATAGTCCATTTACTCTTTACAGTCATGGATTCGTACATTTTCTCTAGGGATAAGATATTACAGTTTATGCATGTTTTACTTCAACTCTGATGCATCACTATTTTTTTCTAAAAATGTAAACTTAAAAGCAAATGAGGTTGGCTCAAAAAGGCATTTCTCCCAGAAGTGTAAAATCAGGTTTTTCATCTTGAAGGAGTTGGTGGGTAATCAACAGGAACAAAATACATTTTATGAAATTCTAAAAAAAATATATATATTATTAAAAAAAATCTCAGTATTCATCCCAAAATAATCCATCATTTAATTATGGAATTCATATGAGACAATATTTTTATAAATAATGGCAACAGTGTTGTATCCAAATATATACAAGACTTTATACAACCAGATTTTGTGAATTCTTTTTTTTTTCCTTAGAAAAAGAGCAGGAAAACTATGATTCTCCTTCTCCAGATACATCCATCTGGAGGAAAGATAAGTGATAAAATTACATAGTTGGTGAAAACAAGCGACCTGAGGTCTGGTCACCAACGTTCTGCGATTAACTTATACTTGAAACTGCTCTGGCTCTATAACATGGAATGACATCATGAAACATGAACTGGTAAGAATAGGGAGTGGGAGATGCTAAGGAAGGAGGAAAAGAAATGTTGAAATCCTCCTGTAGTCAAGCACTGTCATCAACAGGCCAAAGTCACACCGTGTACTGTGCCCACTACAGCAAATGGAAACCTGATTTTCCAAGCAAATCAAACTTGTCAGTGCTGATTCTGAACTGCAGTTACAGTCCTGTACAGTTTAATTTCGTCATCATAATCTTTAAGAAGCTCAGTTCTTTCTCCTCACTATGATTTGGGGTATTGGGACACTACACCATTTGAAGGAGCATGTACGTGAAGATGCAGGCACAAAGTGCCTTGATCACAAGCCCCCTGAGCAGTAGTACCCTTTGAGAAGATGCAGGTGCTCTCACCTTCACGTTGGGTTTTGACAGCAGTTTCAGCAGCTCTCTCATCTCACTGCTTAGTGGCTTGTTCTGTAGCTCTTCAGCCAGCTGCAAGGGAGAGGACATGGATGTGAGTGACAGCTCGCAGAACACCATCAGGTTCACTGTGTCACGACTGACTCTGGTTTGCTCAGTGCCATTGCTTTCAAGAGCTTCAGGATAAGTCAGCAGGAAAAGAAGCAGACCATCAGCCCGTGCTCTTCTTTCCAGGCCCACAGCAGACCATATCCAATCCTACGCCGAGTGCAGCTGGAGCAATACCATCAGTCAGTTCACCTTCTGATTTACTGCCAGGAGGGCAAATCCCAGACTTCATCTGCGTGAATGCTCTTCTGCACGCAGACAAAGGGCCATTTGTATAAAGGACTGGATCAGCTTTGACAGTGCACAAAGAAGAAAAAGAGACAGCTTCTGAATGAGGTGGTGAAATCCTCAGGACTTCTAGAAACCCACAGTAGTTGTGCTGTTCAGAGCTGGGGTAAAAAGAATTCGAATGCTCCTCACAGAATCAATGGCCTGCAGCTTTTACTGTTTCTGTACACAGTCTTGGCTCATAGTTAACAGTCTACGAAGTCTATTTACTACGAGCCAAGTTCACCATGAATGCATATCAGCTCATAACAACTCTGGTACCAACAATATCAGTGGTACTTTTCTGTAACCATCAAGAAGGCCTACCTGTGGGTTCAAAAGAAAAGACTGGAATTTTGAACCTGATGTTCTCACCATAAAGAAGCATGCTGAGGTGGCAAACAGGCTTGAGTTGATCCTTATGAAATGTGTATGTGTGTGCAAAGGTACTAAACCACACCCATAAATATATTTAATCACCATTTTCTGATTATAAACAAGGTAAAATATAAAAAGAGAACTTCCTAGCAAAATTACTAGTCAATTTTAGGCTATAAGAAATAGACACACACACACACACACAAGAACAAGATTCAAACAGCACAAAAAAGTTTAGAATCATGAAATTTATGGTGTGTTATTAGAATATATATTCAATATCTCTTCTTAAAACACAACATGGAACCAACATTTGCCCCTATTACCCCCACCATGCTGGCAGGACAAGGTGGTTCTTAGCTATGGGAGAGGAGCTTTCTGTAGATGTACAATATATGGAATGTACAAAAGAAACAATCAGATGAAACTGATAGATTTATCAATTGTACTAACCTATGCAAGCAGCTCTTTACTCTTACATACATGTGTTTTAACATTAGATCCACTACTCCAGTGAATTAAATGCCATAGTTTATCACAATGACACAGATTCTAATGTGTGTTTATTTCTGGAGACTATGGAGCGTGAGTCCATGGCATCGCATCTGCTTGCTACGCACTCTGATGCCAAGTGATAGTCCCTGCTTTGGATTCTTTTCAGTTAACAAACAAAAGCAAAACTGGGGGCTGGAGAGAAGGCTCCGCAGTGAAGAGTGTCTATTGCTCTTCCAGAAGACCTGAGTTTGATTCCCAACACCCACATCAGGCAGCTCACAACCACTTGTAACTTTGGGGGACTGGACACCTTTTTCTGGTGCCTGCAGGCATACACATATGCCTGTGCACACATGCCTGCATGTACACACACACACACATACACACACACGTGTGACACACACAAATAAAAAATGGTAAAAATAAATCTTTAAAATAAGTTGCTATCTTTTGATTGGGAGGAGGCATTTGTTTTCACACAGGCATTTCCAAACCTCTCTATGCTCTGTGTTTTCATAGTGGTTTTTAAGGTTTATTCGAGTTGCAACTGCAGCAACTCATACGACTATCTTTACATCTTTATTCACCTTTAAAAAGTCTGGGTTCTATGTTACACAAGTATACTTCTTTATGTGACATGTTAAAACAAACTTGTGTCTGCAGAGAAACAAGAGGGACAAGCCTGGGGCTAATCAGATCTGCTCGGATGTTATAGTTGCAAAGGCTTTATTTCATGTATGAGGGTCTAGAAATCTGCTCTGGCAGATATTGAATAGTTTGTGATCTAAGACCCTGACATTCTGCAACACTGAATTATAGTTTGATTTATACAATGAAAGCACAACTGAAGAGCAACAAATAAGCTGGACTCATCACTCCCACACACCAGCACACACACCCCTGTCTAGCTGTGCGCCCTTACAGCTTATCCAGGCGTGTTGTCAATTCATCCGAGGCTGAGAGTTAGCAGGAGAAATCAGCAAGTGAGTTCTCCTTCCCCAGGTTTAAAATAAAATTATAGCGACAGGAAATTAACTACTCCATCAATGCCAAATGCTTCTAAATTTATTTTTTGGTTATGAAGGTAATTTGGAATAGTCTAATATCCATAAATCATTACTATACTCCATAATCCATTTTAAAAACAATCCTGCCTTTTATGGATTTAATATGCCCAATTCCTTTCCTAGTATCTGTCATTTTTGGTACTGTCAGCAATGTAACTATCTCATTTGTCTTTATTTCTCCAAAGCATTCTCCTTGTGTGACTTTCACAGAACACTGATGCCAGACAGCTTTTTACTGCATAAAATTTGAAGCCTACAATTTCTATTACTTAGTCACCAAGGCATAATACTAGGATAGCTTCAGGTACAAATTTAGAAAAAGAAAGTGGATAGGAATCTACACAGCATCAGCACATGCTTGGCGATGACAGGGATTTGGGAAACATTTGTGACTTCTTCCACCTTTCACTTAAAGGGTCACACACATCTGCCTGCCACGGGGTAAGTCCTGCTTGGAATCAAGAAAGGCACACTTACATCATCAGCCAGGGCTGCTGCCCCATGTAGAATGGGCACTGGACTCTGCTTCTCATAGTAGTGAAGTTTTTCATGAATCTGGAAGAAAATGAGAGCAGTATGAGTTCACCTGCTGGCAAAGAATCATAAATACCTAAATACTTTCACTACTGTGAAGAGAATTAGATCTCCCCAAATTTGTAAAGTCATGTGTTCAAATCAACCTAGAAAATGGAAGATGTGTCTATAATCCATCAATTACTACCAAGAATCAAATGGCAAAAGCATCCTCAAACAAAGCACGTAAAAGCACTAAACCTCTGCTTCTCCTCCTAAACAGAGCCCACTGTTTGTGAGCTACACTACCTCAATATTTCAAGTTTTATTTATAGCTTATACTCCCACAAAACAGCAACAAAGATAAGCAATCTAGCAGCCCCAGTCCGACTGGCTGGACTGCAGAGGTGGCAAAGTGGGGAAAGCAGGCTCTGAGGGCTAATGAAGCCAGGCACATATGTACCTTACCCAGGATGGGTTCTGACAACCTACCTCTCCACCATAACTGTTGTCACTGCCCCAAATCAAATCTCAAAGAAACTAAAGGGATTTCCCTTGAGCTCAAACATCTTCACTGTTTAGGTTGATAACACCATGCTCCAAACTACAAATAACAGGTAAATAATATTACAAAGTAAAACCAATCTGGCTGCCAGATCTCATCACCATGACCCAAGAGACACGCACAAGAATGTATGCAGAATTAAACAACCAAGTTTCCTTAAAAATATTTGGGCTGGAGAGATGGCTCAGCAGTTAAGAGTGCATACTGCTCTTGCAGCAGACTGATGGGGGAGAGTCTTCTGTTTTGTGTTAATTTCATTGGTTAAATAAAGAGACTGCCTTGGCCCTTTAATAGGACAGAAAATTAGGTAGGGGAGTAGACTGAACAGAATGCTGGGAGAAAGAAGCTGAGTCAGGCAGTCACCATGATTCTCCCATTCCAGACAGATGCAGGTTAAGATCTTTCCTAGTAAGCCAGCTCGTGGTGCTACACAGAATATTAGAAATGGGTTAGAAATGGTTTAGTTCTAAAGTATTTTAAATGCTAAGGAAAATACATAAATGAGGATGATCACTTCACATACTGATCAAAGAAGGTTTCACTTCCTATACCACAACATATTTTAAAAGATTTATTTTATAATTTTATGTCTATATGTGTGGATGTGTTTGTTTATGTGGGCATGTGTATGTATCAGGGCCATGGAGGCAGAGGTGGTGCAGCTAGAGTTTCAGATGGTTGTGAGATACCTTATGTGTTTGCTGGGATTTCCACTTGAGTCTGCTATTGTGTGGAGTGGCGGGCCGCTTCCCACCGCTTAGCTCCCAGCCACCGGCTAGCTCTACCCAAAATAATTACACAGAAACTGTATTCTTTTAAACACTGCTTGGCCCATTAGTTTTAACCACTTATTGGCTAGCTCTTACATATTGAAATTAGATAATTCCGTGTAATTATTTTGGGTAGAGCTAGCCGGTGGCTGGGAGCTAAGCGGTGGGAAGCGGCCTGTCACTTCACACAATAGCAGACTCAAGCGAAAATCCCAGCAAACACATAAGGTATCTCACAACCATTTGAAACTCTAGCTGCACCACCTCTGCCTCCATGGCCCTGATACATGCACATGCCCACATACACAAACACATCCACACATATAGACATAAAATTATAAAATAAATATTTTAAAATATGTTATGGTATAGGAAGTGAAACCTTCTTTGATCAGTATGTGAAATGACCATCTTCATTTATGTTTTTTCCTTAGCATTTAAAATACTTTAGAACTCACTTTAGCTTATTCTTGCTTATAGTTAAGAAAACTATTCTCTCCTGTGTTTGAAAAACAATGTCTCACCATCTCCTGCTAATTATAGTTGAAGTTAGCCAACCCCTTGTAGGAGTCTGCAAGAAAGATTTTCTTTTGATTGACTAGACGTTCCTGCTGAGAGCAGATCCTATTACTTTTGGCAATATGGTATAAAAGGTAGGACATCAGGGAAAGGTTTGCGAGAGTTATGGCATTACCAGAATGGGCAGAGTAAATTGTTTTTGAATTTAATATCTTGGAGCATTTAAAGTTTAAGTGTTTATCACAAATTGTAAAGAATGTAAAAAATGGAATAATTTTTAGGAAACCAGAAAATTGTGATTTAAAACAAAACTCAGGCATCCTGAGAGCTAAATTTATTTTATTTAAACAATTATCTAGCACTAGTCTGCAGGACACTCACTACCTTAAAGTTGTATAAAACTCATCTAGCTTTACTATAGCCACTTCTCAGAATGCTTTCTGCAAAAGTGAATACTTAAGAGGCACATCTTTAATCCCAGCACTTAGTAGTAACACAAGGTCAAGGTCATCTTCAGCTATACAAAGTGTTTGAGGATACAATTGTCTCAAAGAAACAAATAAAAGAAGGTTCATTTTTATGTGCAACAATTTTTCCCCCAGTAAACTTTCTTCTTTATTACAAAAATACTAAAAGTCTAGTGGAGTAAAGATATTAGATTGACAGTAAGGCCCCTAAAGGAGGAATGTAAGTAAATCCTCAAAGCAACATAGCTTTAAAGAAAATAATAACATGTATGTTAGTATGCTGAGCGGGAGAACAAGAGTAGCTGCTAGAAAACGCAGGTAATGAACTGAATCTGAAAGAGAAGTGCATACTGTAAGAAGACATCACATGAATGAAAGGTTAAATAAACCTCAGCTGTGAATGGACTTCATAAATATATTGAGCTGTACATTTTTCTCTGCTTCCCTCCCTCCCTCTTCCTACCCTTCAGCCATCTCCCAAGGTCCCCATGCTCAAAATTTCCTCAGGAGATCTTGCATTTTATACTTCGCATGTAGATTAAAGCTATATAAGTCTCTCTTAGTATCCTCATTGTTGTCTAGGTTCTTTGGGATTGCAATTTATAGGTTGGTTTTCTTTACTTTATGTTTAAAAACCACTTATTAATGAGTACATATGATAATTGTCTTTCTGGGTTTGGGTTACCTCACTCAAAATGATGTTTTCTAGTTCCATCCATTTGCCTGCAAATTTAAACATTTTTTTCTGCTGTGTAGTACTACATTGTGTAGATGTACCACATTTTCCTTATCCATTCTTCAAGTCGAGGGACATTTCGGTTGTTATTTAGGTTGTTTCCAGGTTCTGGTTATTTCAAACAATGCTGCTATAAACATAGTTGGACATATATCTTTGTGGCACAATTGAGCATCCTTTGGATATATAGCCAAAAGTGGTATTATTGGGTCTTGAGGAAGGTTGTTTCCTAATTTTCTGAGAAACTGCCACAATGACATCCAAAGGGGCTGGAACAGTTTGCACTCCCACCAGCAATGAAGAAGTGTTCCTTTTACCCCACAACCTCTCCAGCATAAGCTGTTATCAGTGTTTTTTATCTTAGTCATTCTTACAGGAGTAAGATGGAATCTCAGATTTGTTTTGATTTGCATTTCTCTGATGACTAAGGATGTTGAACATTTTCTTAAATGTATTTCAGTCATTTTAGATTCCTCTGTTAAGAATTCGCTGTTTAGGTCTGTATTCCATTTTTTTATTGGAGTATTTGTTCTTTTGATGACCAATTTCTTAAGTTCTTTGTATATTTTGGAGATCAGACCTCTGTCTGAGTGGGGTTGGTGAAGATCTTTTCCCATTCTGTTAGGCTGTCATTTTGTCTTGTTGACCATGTCCTTGGTTTTACAGAAGCTTTTCAGTTTCAGGAGGTCCTATTTATTAATTGTTTCTCTCAGTGTCTGTGCTACTGGGATTATATTTAGGAAGTGATCTCCTGTGCCAATGAGTTCAAATGTACTTCTGACTTTCTCTTCTATGAGGTTCAGTGTGGCTGGCTTTATGTTGAGGTCTTTGATCCATTTGGACTTGAGTTTTATGCATGGTGATGGATACGGATCTGTTTTCATTCTTCTACATGTTATGCCAGAACCACTTGTTAAATATGCTTTCTTTTTTCCATTTCATATTTTTTGCTTCTTTGTCAAAAATCAGGAGTTCCTAGGTGTGTGTATTAATACCTGGGTCTTCATTCAGTTCCATTGGTCCTCCTGACTGTTTTTTTTTTCTTCCAATACCAGGCTGTTTTCAGTACTGCAGCTCTGTAGTAGATTTTGAAGTCAGGGATTGTGATGCCTCCAGAATGTCTTTTATTATACAAGATTGTTTCAGCTATCCTGGGTTTTTTGCTTTTCCATATGAAGTTCTTTTGAGGTCTGTGAAGAATTTTGCTGGGATTTTGATGGACATAGCATTGAATCTGTAGATTGCTTTTGATAAGATTGCCATTTTTACTTTGTTAATTCTACCCCCAAAACTATGGGAGATCTTTCCACCTTCTGGTGTCTTCTTCAATTTCTTTCTTCAGAGATTAAAGTTCCTGTCATACAAGTCTTCCATTTGTTCGGTTAGAGTTACTCTGAGATATTTTATGTTACTTGTGGCTATTGTGAAAGGTGATCTTCCCCTGATTTTTTTCTCAGCCCATTTATTAACTGTGTATAGGAGGGCTACTGATTTTGGTTTTTTTTTGTTTGTTTGTTTTTTCTGTTTTAGTTAATCTTGTATCCTGCTACATTACTGAAAGTGTTTATGAGCTGTATAAATTCCTTGGTAGAATTTTTGGGTTCACTTATGTAAACTATCATATCATATCATGAGAGTTTGAATTCTTCTTTTAGGATTTGAATCCCCTTGATCTCCTTTTGCTGTATTATTGCTCTTGCTAGGACTTCAAGAACTCTATTGAATAGATATGGAGAGAGTGGGCAACCTTGTCTTGTTCCTGATTTCAGTGGGATCGCTGGGAGTTTCTCTCCATTTAGTTTGATGTTGACTTGCTGTATATTGCCTTTATTATGTTTAGGTATGTTCCTTGTATCCCTGCTCTCTCTAAGACCTTTATCATGAAGGGATGTTGTATTTTTTCAATAGCTTTTTCAGCACCTAATGAGATGATCATGTGGTGTTTATTTTTCAGTTTGTTTATATAGTGGATTACATTGACAGAT